TAAGATATCTTTACTGAATATCCAAATGCACAATTTAGAACTTGTGTCCATCAAACACAAGACTGTTGAACTTTGTACAAGAAAGCCGTGTCAGCTCATAACAGGCGGGGCTAGCCGTAGCTCGAGGTTAGCCCTAGCTTGAACCTGGCCAAGGGGCCCCCGACACAGGAGAAGGCCAGGGCCGTCCTAATTCTATAGGGCCAATCCCAACCTTCGGCCCACATTTTGTAGCTCCACCCTTAGCTTTGTCCGAGGAAATTATGGCCATATCATAATACTTTTGCAGTATTACAATATGGTTCAATTTTTTTAATATTTTACGTAGAGGTGTTACTCTTTCGTGTATTTTTTTTTGAGTAATGATCCTATGAGACCCTCCCACACCCATGTGTGTAGGACCTTAAAGTATCATCATTAAATTTGGCACAGATCTTTAAAAAAATCAAGCTTCACACCCATACGATAATTTTTATAGAGATCTGTGCCAAATTTAATGGTGATCTTTTGGGATCCTATACACATGGGTGTGGGAAGGTCTCATAAGATCATTACTATTTTTATTTATTTTAAAATTTTGCCTTCCGATCTAATATTTGTAATTTCATATTGTTTTTTATTGTATTTATTTATTTATTTGTCTACAGGGTTGTCCAACGCGTTGGAGGTATATTGTCCAACACTAAACATCACTCTAGCATCGTCTGATATTACGAATATCATAGAGCCCGACTTAGAATTTTTACATTTTGATATTTGTGACATTGGATTGCAGGATATCTAGTTTTTGTAACGTCAAACAGCTTGTCCAATAAGCAATCTGATGTTTAGAAAATAAAACCGCTAGACTTACTTAAAAAGGTTATGGGATTCGAGATTCTAAACATCGAATCGCTCACTGTAGGGCAGCTCGTTATTCAAAACATAAAACTGACCTCTAATATACCTCCAAGCCAATACACAATCCCATATGTTACAAAAAAAGAAAAAAAAAAAGATGGTGCAAACATTTAACTCAAGAATAAAAACTAAAAAAATAAAAAGAAAGTACAGAGTGAGACCATTTACCTCTCTTCACCATTGGATGTGAAATTCGATAGCTGTATTTATTTTATTGACCAAGCTCAAACTTCAATAGTAAATTTTTTGAACTTTGTGACGCATCCAAACTATCAAACTTCACATCCAATAATTGTAACTAATTGTGGCCACCTTGTTTCAAAGGTAAATAATCTCATATACAATTTGGGATACATACATATCTATTTCATAGCTGTGAGGCCTTCACCGATTCTTTTTTTTTTTCTTTTATTGAGAGGGAAAGTGATTCATTATTTATTATAATAAAACAAAGTGGAGTGGCAATTAAATTAATGGCCACCAAAACACGATAGACCATCATAGGTACGATTACTTTACCAATGGAAAACGATAATAGATTAAACTAGTGACATGGGCCAGAAGCAGTTTAATCGGCCTATCCGATGAGCACTCCAACAGGAGAAGTCTTGAGTGGTTAAAAAATTATATAAAAATATATAATTTTTTTAATAAAATATAAAAAGTATATTTAAAACATGATTAAATAAAATCACATCCAAATGAGTTTGAAAATTAATGAAAAAAATAGATTTTAAATAATCGATTTGTGTTCAACGGTAATTTTGAAAAATATGAAAAATGTAAAAATAAGTATTTATAGCCAAAAAATTTTCCAATATTTGTCAAAATGATAAAAAACATTAAAAAATACATTACAAACAAAATCCCTTATTTTTTGGGATTTTATAAAATAAATTATTTTTATTTTTTTAAATATCCGGCTAGTTCACCAAGACCGGCCGAAGGCGGTTCCGATCTAACCGGGCGGTTAGAATTTGAACCGCCCGATTTTTCCTACACTGGATTAAACTGACCATTATTTTTTAAAGGATATGGTTTGTATAAGGTTGCAGCCTTAAACAATCAAATTAAGTTGCACCTCCAAATTTTATCATAAATATAATTTTGGTGTAAAATATCATTAGTATAGCTTGAGAATCTATTTTTATCTCCAAAAATGGTTCAAATCATGTAGATCTATAAAAACTTGAAATAGACGGTGTAGATAATCTGTTACAAGATACTATTTTTAGGACTCAAAATCTTTTTTTCTTTTCATATTTATGCATCTCGAAGTCGAGATGTTCAATTAGAGGGCTTTCCAATATCAAAACAACCTTTCGTGATGGATTTTTTAGATGCACCTTAATTCTACATTTTAAAATTCAACCTTTTATTTTATTTTTTTGAAAAATGTGATTAAACTAACCATTATTCTTGGCATTAAGTAAAACAAATACCAAGTCCTCAATGGAAAATATTTTTACTCCACCGGGAGCATATAGTGTCCATTTATTCGCTCGAGTAAAACTCAATCTAGGATTAATTTTGGGATATAACCTTTTCAAGTCATAGACTAATCCCCAAAAAAAAAAAAAATTGCACTCTCTATGCACTTTAAAAACATACTGTCTCAGATCTAATATAGACTATCTATTTTTTAGAGGGTGACTTATAAGTGTTAGATAACACAAAATTCAAAAAAAACTTATTTTGAAAATAATTATCATGTAGTTCGTAAGTGATTCCCAAAATTTCAAATTGGAGAGAATCTATTGCGACCGAGGAAGTAGATATATAATATGCTCCATGCTTCCTTGATTGTAGAACAATGAACAAAGACCCAAAGAGTTTTAAAGGAAAATGCCATAAGTTTCGAAAATGATCAGCCATTTTTCCATCACCCAATTTGCGCCCCAACTCTTGATGAATGATGCAACGGTAAATTGAATGTTTGATCGGCTCCTATAGTGTGCTCCCGCGAGATCATGCTTTGAAACTACTCTCAAGTAACAAAACCTAGTTAGAATATTTTATTGTTCTAAAAGCCTGGGATTCTCACTTCGATCATTATTTTCAAATTCTAAATCTAAAAATTTGGCATATAATAGTGCCTTATAATTTTTCCAAAAATTAAATTAAATTAAATTTTGTGTTTAAGTGCTATACAATGGAAGTATCCGATTTCAATATTGAAAAAAAGCATTATTTTTAAATTTTTCAAGGCTGGCCTATATAAATTCTTGCCCTATCCCCCAAAATATACTTAAAGGGTTTCTACCCAAGCAAGCTTTCACCAAATGTTATAATTAAATAAACTATATATTTATTTAGAGAAATTGACAAATGCTGAAGATAATAAATATACAATGTGACTTTTTCAGTTCTATTCTTATCTAGTGTTGGTAAAACTGGGAGATCGATCTGCTAACCGCCCGATTAGATAATGGCCGGTTCCGGTTTTGGGAGGTTTGGTGATCAATTAATAATTAAAAAATTTATATATAAATTCCTAAAAATAAAGAATTTGATTTGTATTGTATTTTTTAATATTCTTTACATTTGAATAAAAAAATTGGTTATTAATCTCACTTTTATATTTTTCCATTTTTTCAAAAAAATTTAAAAATACCTTTAGACACAAATCGATTCGTTAAAATCAATTTTTTATTAATTTTCGACAAAAATACGCCATGAATGTGTTTAGCTTTACTCAAAATTTACAAAAACCCCCCACGTATACTGTCTATGCAACTTACTCCTAGCTAACCTTTTCTCTCATTTTTTTTTCCTATAACCACATTTCCTCGCAAAACCCCCTAGGTAAAAAGTTGTTATTTTTTTTACGAAAATACCCTTCCGGTACAAAAAAAAGAAAAAGAGAGAGTCAATTGGCGGTCCCAAGTATCGTGTTGCCTAAGTGGCCAATTCAACCGGAGTGATTTGGCTTCAGAAGGTGTACTGCTGGAGAGCGTCTTTATACTGCCGGAGTGCTTGTCTTCATTGCTGGAGTGACCTATTCAACTGTCGGAGCGCTGTGGCTCCAAAAAGTGTATTGCCGGAGTGAGTCATTGCATTGCTGGAGCATGTGTCCTCATTGCCGGAGCGACCTATCCAATCGCCAGAGCACTTTGGCTCAATAAGGTGTACCGCCAGAGCGAGTCTTTGTATGGCTGGAGTGCATTGTCCTTATTGCCGGAGCGTTTAAATGGATTGTCGGAGCATTTAAAACACACAGGGAGAGAGTCGTGGGCAAACGCCACGAAGAGAGAGAGGGGGTAGTTTAGTCTCTTTTTTTTTTGGATTGGTGGTATTTGCGAAGAATGCGGTTGTGGGGAAAAAAATGACAGAAAAAATTAACTGGGGGTAAATTGTATAGATAGGAAACTTGGGAGGTTTTTTGTTATTTTTCATTTTTATATGTTTTTCACATTTTAATAAAAACAAATTATATATATATATATATTTTTCTCAACATTTTTTTGAAACCGCCTCCAGGGTATCCCCGGTCACTCATTATCGAGGAAAACGTGGGGAACGTCGTAAAGTAGCAAGTGCTATTCTCAGGCCTGTGAATTTTTTATTTTTATATTTTCAAGCGTACGAGATTTGGTACAAAGCACACCACGGTACAACATTAGAGAGAGAATTTGATTGATTTTTTAGGGCTGCAGTTTTATTAAAATAAATAAAACCTCACTTTATAATTAATTAAAAATTATAATTCAAGCATCAAAAAATCTTTGCATGTTGGCTTGAATATTATGGCTATAAAAACAAATTAAATTTCTCAGTTTTCAAATAGTACATATTATAATAAATTATTTGTACCATTCATTTTACTTAAGAATAAGTCTTTATTGATAAGATTGTATCATTTTTTGAATTTCAAAATTTTATTGTTGGTGATGGAAATTGATTTTAAATCCATCATGGTTTCTATTACAATTTTTGAAGGAAAATTTAAAGTGAGGTTTTATTTTATTTTGATATAGCTTAGGCGTTATAAATCTTCATAATCTGATTTTGTTTTTTCTATTTTGTTTTTTATCACGTTGGCCAGGCATATTTTTAGAGAAAGGGCGAGAGAGAGTTTGATTTTTATTTTTATTTGGAACGGGATTTTTTTTTTTTTTTTATCACGTTGGCATTGATTGCACGAGCAGGCATTCATGAGAGCCACCGCCAGATTGCAGGATATTAAGGGGGGGAAGAAAGGGGACCCGTTTCGTGAAGACGCCGTGCTGTAATTCTGTCTTCTGGAAATATCTTTTTCAAGAGAGAGAGAGAGAGCCAGTTCTATATAACCTTGTGATCGCAACTCTGAACTTCCATGTCGCAAAGTGAGAAGAGGATTTGAGAGAAGAAGATCTGAACCCCAAAATCCTCAGTTCGAACCCAGAGTCCCAATTTTCACTGACAAAGATCCAGTTTCATAGATCCAAACTGCCAATTGAGAAGGAGAGAGGAAGGGATTGATTCAAACCCCCAATTTCCAAGTCCTAAAAACCCAAATCCAAATTCGCAGAGAGATCCAAACCACAAAATCCCCATTTCTGTAAAAAATCCGCCAAACCCATTTTCCTCTAGAGAGAGATGGGTTTAGAGAGAGAAGCATGCTCATCCTCCCATGCCCTGAAAACCCCACAAGAAGACTCCCCTCTTCTCCCCAAATCTCAACCTCTCTCATCCAACTTCAAAACCTTCGCGAATATTCTGATCGCCATTGTTGGTGCAGGTGTACTCGGCCTCCCATACACTTTCTCGAAAACTGGTTGGGTTTCAGGTATTTTAATGCTCTCAATTGTTGCCTTTCTCACCCATTACTGCATGATGCTCCTTGTGTACACAAGAAGAAAGCTAGATAGGGAAAATTTCACAAAAACTCGAAGTTTTGGGGACCTGGGTTTCGCAGTTTGTGGACCAGCAGGGCGAGCAGCTGTGGATGCCATGATTGTTCTCAGTCAAGCTGGTTTTTGTGTAAGTTACACCATTTTTGTGGCCAATAGCCTTTCCTCTGTTTTTCCCATACCGAATATTTTGGGGCTCAAGCCAAAAGCCACCTATATTTGGGGTCTTTTCCCTTTCCAGTTTGGCCTAAATTCCATTAAACTCTTGACCCACTTGGCCCCTCTGAGTATATTCGCTGATGTGGTCGATATCTCGGCCATGTTTGTCGTGATTGCGGAGGATTTGGCCATCTATCTGAGATCAAAACCAATTTTGCAGGCCTTTAATGGCTTATCAGTGATCCCCTATGGCCTTGGTGTGGCTGTGTATGCATTTGAGGGAATTGGCATGATTTTGCCCCTTGAAGACGAGGCCAAAGAGAAAAATAGCTTCGGAAGGATACTGGCCTTGGCCATGGGTTTCATAACTTTGCTTTTTGGGTGTTTTGGGGCACTGGGTTACTTTGCTTTTGGCCCTGAGACTGAAGATATCATCACTCTCAATTTTGGGAAGAGCTTTCTCACTGATACGGTGCAATTGGCTTTGGCTGTGAATCTCTTCCTCACTTTCCCACTGATGATGAACCCTGTTCATGAAGTTATAGAGAGAAGGTTCAATAGAGGGAGATACAGTTTGGTTTTCAGATTTGGGATGGTTTTTGGGATATGTTTGGTTGCACTTTTGGTGCCAAACTTTGCAGATTTCTTATCCTTGGTGGGGAG